TGCAACTATTCTTGGGTTGCACGTTCCATATCAACATCCTCGAGTATCCCCCGAAGAGCGTGCTGCTAGGTAGGCTTACATCCACAACTCTGTGGAATATCTCGCATTCGCTAACTGTATCGGCAGGCGCCGCATATGGATGAGCTCACGTGTTCTTGATTTGCTATGCAGCTCCATTCTTGCACGTCCTAGTAGTATACCGTCAATAGAAAGAGACGAATACGAGATAGACAGCTCAAATCCTCAAGATATGGACCATCGAACGTTGGCTCTTTATGCAACCTACGAATCTTCATCTATCATCGAAACCATCGTACATAAGTTTGCCAAATCTAGTCGCGTCGACGTGCACTCCGCCGATACTTATCTTCAGATGCTGCGAGAATGGAGTCAGGCCCTACCTTCAGCACTTCGAAGCGTTCCTGACCCCGCGTTTGAAGGTGACTATTGTGAGACTACGATTGGCAATATCCACGTTTCATGCACTTATTATGTAGGCATTATGATGGTAACACGTCAATTCCTCATCTCACATGTCATGTTTCAACTACGGAGGAATAGTTCTAGCAAGTCTAAGAGAGCCAACGAGGTACCGCCAATAAGTCCTAGTGAAAGGGAGAAAATTGTTCAATTCTCGGATGCTTGTGTACAATCTGCACATTTGATGGTAGAGCTATCGTACGAAGCATTTCTCGGTAATGTCCTGCTTGACAATATGTGTATCCTTAAAGCTTGGCTTTTTTCCGCTGGACTTGTACTCGGCTTCTCCCTCCTCGTAGAAGGCGACGCCCCGACTCATATTCATAGATCTTTCGATCACGCTTGTACTGTGCTTAACAAGCTTGCTCGGTTGAGTCCCCAGGCAGAACAATACCATGATATCCTTCTTCGCTTCAACACAGCGATCAATCTGTATCGGCAACAAATGCTGAAAGCCCAAAAGGACAGCAACAATGTATACGTTGAGAAGCTAATGACTATCGGGCCATTCAACCGAGAGTCTCGCGAAAGTCAATCTGGTACTGAATTCCAGTCACCATCGCAGCCAGTACTTACGAATGATCAGACAATTCCAGGAGGAATGGGAGCGCAGGGTGACTTAGCAGAGATGTATGCTACTGATTTCTTTGGGATCGAAAACGAAATTCAGATGTGCGATGCTCAGATTGGCTATGATACAGGAGTTGCGGCTGATTTGAGGTGGCTATGCTATGTATAGCAGCCACTAGTTCAAATGCCTGAAAAGAGAAGACATAAAACAAGCAGGACTTGCGAACAGACAAATTTCCCTCAAATTTGCTAGAGAATTTTCGATTCAAGATGGGCATTACAGTACTATCGATACTTAATTTCTAGTCTTGTTCTCTGCTTCATTTCAACGCACAAATGAAATTGTAATAATATTTTTTTTGGCGATTGTCATGCTCTCTTCCTCAGTTTCAATCTCAGACCAATCATTTCTCACGCATGGGAATTGAACATGCACATATGCAAGCATGCAAAAGAACAGTCCTCTAAATGTTAAATAGCCCATCTCATCTGATCTCGTCTTGTCACAACACGTCGCATTCCCCTCAACCAGGCAGACTTAGCTTCGGCAACTTCAACCTCCCTCCTTTCTCCTTTCCCGGGGCCCCCCAAACTTTCTCCAAGATTACCCTACTTTTCTCCTCTCGTATCGCTCTTTTTTTCCTCATCTGTACCCACAATGTCCCCGGCATCAACAACAAACTAATCAACACCCATCCAATGAGCACCCCGAAATTCTGTCTCAATGTATTTTTTGTCCCATAAATGATCGCTCGCGCACCCATCATATCATGTCTCAAGGGCCACACGATTCCCCACTTGTAAAAGTCGTTGAGCATTTCGGTGGGATAGAACCCGGTGGTCACATTTGAGATGACCCAGAAGACGAAGAAAACGGGTGTGAAGGGCACGCCGAGAATATTATTGATGTTTTCGATCGTGAGACCGAAGGCCATCATGGAGACCCAGGAGAGCATCCAGTAGAGGGGATAGCCGGCTGGTCCAAAGTGGAGAGCGAATGGTATGTGCCACATGCATGAGAGCGTTAGATAGAAGAGAGAGAGGAAGAGAAAGACGATAGGGAGGACTGCTAAGCGATAGACATAGTAGATGTTCATGGGAATCGTTCCCATGATTGTATCGCTGAGTTTGTCGAACATGAGAACGGAGAGAAAAGAAACAATGATAAGATCTAATTTCAGAAAGGTTAGTAAGGTTTCTCTTTCTATTAGATAACAGGATTAATAAAGTTATGGTAGATACGTACAGATCGTTCCAATCTCGGTCGCAGCTTCGGCTGTCTATATCCAAGCATTTTAGTATTGAACCAAGGGTCAAGAAAAAGGTCTGAATTAAAATATTAACGAACCGATGGTATTGCCGGTGCCATATTGAACACCGTAAACCCTGCTGCAACAGGATTTCGAACTTGTCTCTGCAAAGCGTCTGTATCCGATCCATCTGTTCCCTGTAGAAAAGTGTTCTGCTTCCGCTTCGAGAATTCAAGTACGAACTCGTTTAAAAAATCGAGTAACTTCGGGTATAGCGCTCCTCCAATAACGAGTGCATTTCTAGCTTCCTCGTAGAAAACATGAATTGCACTATTTGGGTCGTACAGCTCATCCCCGATTTCATACGCATGATTCATGGCATTCGTAGCATTCTCCGTTATGACGATGCCCACCCAGAATTTCTGATCGTGCAAGGACGCGCGAACATTATCCACGTTTCCATACGTGGAAGTTCCATCCTGATTCACGAACCCCAGCGAGTGATCATAATCTTTGGCTCGTGCCGCTGTCGCCATGTCCTGGATATAATTGCCGATTTCCGAATGATCAAAATCGATAACTGCGATAGTTAAGACGGGTATGTTGTATTGTAATGAATGGTCACCCCCCCAGTATATAGACATTGTGCCCATTATCGTAGTGATCAAAAGCACACAAAAGACCACAAACATCTTGATCCATAGTTTCCTGTTCTCTGCAAGGTGCGGCGACAAAGGACCGGGCAATGGGTACTTGATTATATTCCTGTATTGATTTCGACTCGCTCCTGTTAGAGATTCTTCATCAGACTGGGGATCTCGACGGCCCATTATCGAGGACCTAATGGTACTCCCCGGATATCGTCGGCCACTAGGTAACACACTAAGAGACCATTCTGTAGGGATAGCTGGCTCGTTTTCTCTAACTTTTCTCCTATCGATAGTATCATCTGTTTCATTCCCCAGCGCCAATGACTCCTCCGAAATATAAAATGTCGAAAACGGTGGCATTCTTCTGGTTCTGGTGAGGTAAAAAGGTCTCTTAGGATCGAGCCTAGAACGCGGAGGAAGTTGAAAAGGCATCTTGACTTTCAATTTATCCTTCTCCTCCAACTCAGCTCAATTTTTCATCAACGTCCGGTTCGATTTGCAGCCGAATAGAGTCAGCCTACAACGTGTATTCTGCAATCATAATGCAAGGCAACATCCACGCAAAAATATCTCAAAAAGTTGTGTATCTCGAGCTTCAGCAAGAGAGCTTGAACCATGTGGCGATCCTCATCTTTACATACATTACTTACATCCAATTCGAAGCAGAAATATAAAAAGCCAAGTGTGCAGGATCAAATATCTTCATCCCGCACCCACTTATCAAATATTCCATAAATAGGTAAACGCGACAAGCCGAAGCCTGTTTTACATCTTATCGCATGAAAAGTATCGTATAGCATCAGAGTATATCAAGCCTCCTGATGCATGTCATCTGTACGGCTGATTATGCCATTTCCGCCATTTTTCCGCCTGTGGTGTAACGAATCAACCGGAAGGATTTTTCCACCCACTAGGTTTCATCACGTCCCCGGTATGCAGAATCTCAACAAAAGAAATTTCGGTCGAGTATCTTCAACCCGAACCATTTGCGCCAACAACATTTTCACCCATCACCCATCCCCTTCATTCTATCTGTTGGATAATCTGCACCCAAGAGTTTCGTAATTATCACTTATTCTCCGACATGCGGAGGTCCGAAATTTATCAACCTGTCAACGTGCTGACGCCACTTCACGAATCAATGTCAGCTTCCACCAGCAAAGGATATTGCTTTCAGCCCCTTCATATCTCATTCGATACACGTGGGAAATGAAGATACTATTCATGAATTCTCACTGCATTGCTTGTTCCGTCTATGCCGCTGGTTCCGATCGAGTATTTTGTTCCTGTTGTAGTTCACACTCGAATCCAAAATCTGAAATAAAGAATGTTACCGGATTTTGAATCTTTTTTTCTCATTTTCTCTGAAGATAATATACACACCTATACCTTTGTCTCATCGATCTAGAACGTGGAGTCCCGATATCGTCAATAGGGCACCACAAAAATCCACACATCCATACCCCAGTACCCCATTGTCGACCTCAACACATGACAAAAACAAGCTGTTTCAGATAAACGATGTTTGAACGGCTCAAAGTTACTCATTGGACAATAGTCTAGACACCGACTCGGGATTTCGGAAATAGGCGCAAAGACGGAAGAAGACAAACAGGACGGCTGAAGAAATCTATCTATGTGGTGAGATTCGTATGCTCGCCGGACTCGGTCACTCGTGTATTATCCAATTTCATATCGGCGTAGATTTGGTAGACACAGCCCTTCTGCGAATTGCCATTGGTATTATACAGCCATTGTATATCTGGTTAGGTGTCCAAGTATACATGTTCAGTCCTGAGTTGAAGTCAGCTTGTTACATCTTCAATACGAAACCTTGACATCAATATGTTGGCATTCTAATTTGGACGTCCTTGTTGAGTCTATTCTCGGAATCTTGGAAAGTTTCGAGAACAGAGTCTTGTTGCACAGCAAAAACAAAAACATCATTGATTGTTATCAGGTAACATTTTAGACTAAAAAGAAAGGCTCTATCTCTAGCTTAAGGAGACTGAAGAATTAAAGAAAAAGAAAAGAAGAGTTAACTCGTGATCTAAGATTGTGATAGCTCCGGTGGATCCATGGCTTCCACATAAGAGACTGCCGACAACAACGGCAATGCGATCCTTGTAGCTTTCGTTTTAAACGGTGCAACCAGCGCGTCTTCTGGGTAATCTACAACATCTTTTCCTTCACCGCACTTACAGATCGGGGATACGTAAGGCTCGATAGAAAGAGGGGCTTGAGTACCTCGATACGCGCAGGATGAATCATGTTCCCAACCCCGTCGGCATGACTCTACCGCCGCAGGTATCATTTTCTTCCACAAGATGTGCCCGTTGCGAGTAACTGAATAGCTTACCAAATGCAATAGTGCGGGCGGCGAAGGTCTTTGACCGAGGAAATCGGTAATGGCCCAGCCGTCGAACACCAGTGAGCTTGTTTCACGGCTATGGCGAAGCCCATTCGAGACCAACAGCGAATCGCCAACATGTTCGCTCATGGTGGCCCCTTTGACGAAGACGCCACATAACTTGGTTGTATTCATATGTACCATGATATCAACCAGTATATATTTTAACTGGAGAAGAGCGCGTGGAAAATCATTGGTTGACGAATCATTGTCGCCAAATATGCGTTTTTCACGAGCGCTATAAATTTGATCGTCTACACGGTTCAACCAGTCTAGATTGCTACTTTTTACCCATGGAAGAGTAGAAAGATTGATTCGAGGCAGAGCCCAAATGGCCGGTTGATTAGATGGAGAGGTGATCAACGGGAAGGGATTCTGGTCATAACCGCCAGGTTTCAGAGTTGGTGCGAGAGGGACGTTGACTTCAATCCAAAGACTCTTCCTAGCAATCCTCCTTGTCGCTTTGGAACCATCTATCGGGTATGGGAACATGAGTCGATGGCTGAATTCTCCAACATTTAGGAGTATAGAGCATGGAGTAATATCGGAAGTGTAACAAGAGCAGCTTTTTGCAGTGCTTTGGTTTCCTCAGTTCCGTCTACGAAACGGTAGGTTGCCTGCAGTGCAACGGACTCGTTAAGCTTGGTAGCCGCTATGGTGATTCTGCTCTCGGAGTTATCAGATTGTTCAATTGATGGTTGCTCAGAGGCGATCTCTGGAGCGGGTTGTAAGCGGGACTTAGGAATTCCAGGGGGCACCTTGGAAACAGTCACTCGTTTTTTGTTCTTCCCGGATACCGAAGAGACTACCATCTCTGGTCCTAATTCCATCATGTAGCCTGCCCCATTCAAATCAATTGTAACGCATAGCCCGATATGCCATTTCTTCCCTTTCACTATTTGAGCAGGCACGGGAAACGAAATGATCAAATCGGAATCACCAGCCCAGCCTTGTGGATCTTCGATGAACTCTCCACACAACTCAGGATCTGTTTGTGGTTTGAGAGTTCCAAAGAAAGCGTCCAGGGAAAAGAAAACATCTTCTTCGTTGGTATTAGGTCTGAATATGTAAGCGTGAAGTATAGGATGAGGTGTAGAGTCTGGCTTGAGAAATATTTGGAGGTCGCTCCGAGGCACCACCATTGCGACAAAAGAATGATATGCAGTATCATAGCCTCTGGTGCCAGGCACAAAATTGGACATATCAATGTGCGTCGAGATTTCCAAAACTGTTTTAGCCCCAATGTGAGAGACTGTATCAGCTGCAATTCTCTTCTGTAGACTTGTGCAGAAGGATACCCAATCAGTTGTGGTATTTTGCTTAATAAGCTGCAGGATATTGACAAAACTCAATCGTGTATAACAATTCATCGCTTCACTGCGTAAAGGTCGAACCCCTGGTGCGATGTGGTTTTTGAGGTTTTCAATCGAGAACATCTTCATGTATGTATCGAAGCACAATTGAGAGAGTTCATCTGCATCGACTTGGATTTTGATAGGCTGACTCGATGTGGAACAACAGTAATGGCCTCCAAATGATGGAAATCGCCAGGGTAGCCGTGTTCGATAGCGGCGGGAAGATGTCTGTTGGGTCATATCCTCGCTATAATTGTTATAGGTAGTATAGCCCATGATTTGGCCGGACGGTGTGAGCCCAAACAACAGCGAAGCCAGATTGACATCCATCAAGAGTGCAGCCTTCAAATTTTGCTTCAAATCATGAGAAGAGATCCGCAAACTTTCAGTGTATAGAACAGAGCTGAAAGTTCTAGAAAGAAGGGGCACTGTAGCGGGTAGAATATTGAGATGTCCATAGTAGCCCACAATATTGGAAATATCGATGACCTCGAAAGATAGGGGTAAAAGTGATGCACCGGGACCATCCAACAACATTGGTTTCCCAGACCATTAATCTGCATAAAGACGGGTAACAACAGATGTGTTTCTTGACCTGCAACGAGATGCGAGCTCATAAGCAAAGGTCACTACATCTCCCATATAGGCATTAATCAAAACAGAACCCGCTGCCGCGTATTGTGCAAAAGCTTTGCATCATTCCGCGAAGCCTTGTTTTGCGGATTTTGCCAAGGCTTCCATGCGTAGCTTTTCACTTAAGGGATTTTCGAATACCTGTGGAACGTGATATGCCGACAAAGGATCGCCGGTAAATGGAACGACGAAATCCTCAGACATGGCTGATACCATGAAAGTGAGATTCAAAAGTCCCTTTCCCCCAAAGCCAAGAGCCTTGACATCACCTTCGTTCCTAGCAACCACCCCTTTTTCCCAATAGCCCTTGAGTGCATCCCAACATGAATTGAAGCCTGCAAACCAGTGTACCCCTACAGAGTAAGTCACACATGCTCCTTCACCCTGAGAGAACTTCTGGCGTATCTCTGAGAGGGTGTGTCGCCTAGGAGCCTCATATTCTTGCTGCTCTTCTGCACTTCTCTGGATAGCATACTTCTCCCAAATCTTTCGAACCCCCTCAAGAGTTTGCAAGCTAACAAAAGTAATGCTAGAATAAGGAGATTCTGCCCAAGTCTCTGGCGATTTGGAGTAGGACAAAAGTTTATCAGATTGGTCCTGTAAGAGCTTCAAATCCTCTTTGGGAATCTGATAGTGGTATAAAAGATTCCAAATTGCACCAATTCTCGTTCTATCGTGTGCGGATTGTGATCCATACGATGCAGCATTATCGATGATGAGAGAGAACAAAATAATATTGCGAGCTAGGTAGATAAAGATCAATACTAACAAAAACCACCAAACAGCGATAGGAGCATAAATTACCTAGAATAGCTGGGTCGATATCATCACAACACACAATATTAAACTTCTCATTGCCTGTGTAAGATAATGACAAATGGTTAGAAGCGTTTTGATAATTGCAAATAAATGCGGGGTACATCACGACCCATCTTACCTGGCTTGTCTTCGCAGAAAAACGAAAATAAAATACTCCTGGGATCTCCACAGGCAAGAAGAAGTATGTTTGTAATCTCTCCATCAGATTTAGGAGCATGGTATTCGAGAAGATTGACCGCGGGAATATTTCCAATAGGGCAAAATATGTTTGTGTCCAGTGTGGGAACGATTGTAACGTTATGCATTATGGCAGCAAGATCATCTATATCCAAAAATATGATAACAAGCGCTGATATTCCAACCTCTCGAAATATGTCAATAAAATGAATTGGTGGCCGACTCAAGTGCTCTTGTTCTTGTTGTCGTGTAGATAAGTACGCGTTGTTAAGATGCGGTATCAGAATATTTTTCTTGCTAAACCGTTTGTGGATATTCTCCCTACAACATGCACGGCACTAAAAACCCTGTCATGCCATAAGGATATCCTTAATTTACTAGCAATTCACTATATCCTCGAAAATAACTCCATTCCAAATTTAAAGTGAATCCTGATCCTACCTGCCTACCCAGGTACATATTCATCAGTAGCATAGTATCCCAAACGTGCATTTATAAGACCATAGTTTTCCAATTGGGTCCTGTTCTGAGCCCTTTTACCACGATACCCTATCTATACCGGAACTAGAAGTGAAAAGAGCGTATCCACAATAGCCGTCTCGGCCGCTTGTCTGACTGAAAAAATCTTCCAACAAAACCAACGACTGAGGGTTAGCGAGGACGGGATAGGCTAGAGTTCATAGTCTGGGGCATGAGAGGGAAATCATCTCCTCGCTTGGCTCAATGTTTTTGTTATTTTTAAAAGTTCAGTTAGCTTTAGAATGATTCTATTCTTTGAAAGCTAAGTATTGGCAATGTTTAAGGTCTTGATCATTGCAAGACTCTTCAAGCAAAATACTTATACGTTGCGACTTCATCAAAGAAGCGACCTATAGCTACCGCTCCCCAATGGCCTTTTATCCACAAACACACCTTTAATAACTCTCTACTGCACCCTTACTATCATCCGGCATATCCATAACCCATCCTTTAGGCCTCTCTCTTCCTCTCACAATCATACCATAAACCGCCGTTTCCACCTTCTCCACACAAGTCCTCATAACCTCCATCTTCTTCTCCACATCCCTTCCCAATCCCACATTTCCACACCTAGTCGTATCCAGCTCTTCGAATCTCATTCTGATATCTCTCAGATCAGCCAGGATCGTCCTCTCCTCTTTCCCCGGCAATTCTCCATCCGTCGCCATTCTCGTAATGGCAAATCTCATCATCTCGCCTACCAGATCAAAGATTCCGAGAACATAGTCATCACCTGTAAGATTCACAGCTTGGGGCAAGGACGCTTGAGCAGTATCAAGAGGGACCAATTTTTGTTCAGTCAAGTAGTGGGAAAAGGACACAGCTTCCATGTATTCTTGGATACCCCCTGAGATCTGTCGTTGGTAGCGCCAAGAATTTATGCCCGCGAGATCAGGTGATATACTGAAAAAGAGATCATTAATCGTAGCCAGTCTCTCTGAAGTTTCCTTGGCAATTTTTTGAGGAAGAGGCTGATGGAGTTTTTGAACTCTGAAAATGTATGTTAACACGATAATTTATGATCTCATATAGGTACTAGGTCGGCGCTTTTTGGAAATTTGTGCATACCTCTGCAACGCAAAAATTCTAGAAAAAAAGAAAATTAGCCTAATCCAAAACCCTCACACATAGCGTCCCAAGAAAAAATCCTTACATCTTCTTGCTCCCGGCTGTGATATCTCTGCCTGCTTTGATAATCCTCTCTCTCCGATCATGATGTTCGTCCAATTCGGCCCTGAACCCCTCAAACATTGGCATGAAAGGACTTATCGACACTCCCGTCTTTTCTTCTGATCTCTCAAACTTTCTCTCCGACTTCTCCTTGGAAGTACCATCATGTTGACGTTTAGTACCTGGCATATCTTCACTTTGCGCTTTAGATTCCTGCATTGTACATCAAGAAGTAGGCCTGCACTGGTGCAGATTTATGAGGCGTGCGGTGGTGAGTGGAGTTGGATGGTGAGGTAAGCAAACAGGGATATTTTGGGTGAGAGAATGGATGTGCGAGTAGTTTTCATAGTGGGGTGGATTTATCATATAAACACGTGCAGACTTCAATATCCAAAAGGAGCTCGAGATCATTTCGCACAATTAAGTGGAAGTGACCACAGTCAATGCAGTTTGATAATTGTCATGATTCCAATCATTGCATAGAATTTCCCACAATTCTGTCCTCTCAAATCTCGCCTTGGGTTTGGAAGTCTCCCAGCAATCTCTGCAAACTTCCCCACAAATCATCTCTCCCGTCCTGATTTCTCAGTTCCAACTCTTCAAAACTTCATCAAAAGCGAAAACTTGAACTCTTTTCTCCCAAATTATAGATGATCCAATTGAACCATCCGTTCATTCCACCTCACTAAAACCATGGCCCTTTCAACACGCACCCTCTTCACCCTCTCCATCCTCCTCCGCACAGTCCTCTTTTTCTACGGTCTCTACCAGGACGCGCACTCCCCCCTAAAATACACAGATATAGACTACCAAGTCTTCACCTCCGCATCTCTGTATACCTCTCGCTCACTCTCTCCCTACACACGGGAAACCTACCGGTACACACCTCTCCTCGCCTGGCTCTTACTCCCCACCACATTTTCTCCCCAGTATCTCTGGTTCCACTTCGGCAAGATCTTATTCGCCGTGTGTGATATACTGGCTGGGTATCTACTCCATGTGATACTCGTCAGTCGTGGAATGGATGTTGGACGCGCGGGGAAGTACGCGGCGATTTGGTTGCTGAATCCGATGGTCGCGACGATTAGTACGCGCGGTAGTAGCGAGGGGATTCTGGGAGTGCTAGTCATAGGGTTATTATGGGCGGTGTTGAAAAGAAGGATTGTGTTGGCCGGGATATTATTGGGATTAGGTGTGCATTTCAAGATTTACCCGGTGGTGTATGGGATTAGCATTGTTTGGTTTTTGGATAGGGAGACGATTCCTGGTTCTGGAAGCAGGAATATCGGAGGGAAAGGAATGAAAGAGGGGAAAATGGATAGGGAGAGTGGAAATGATGATATTTGGGGGAAGATTATGGGGCTCATGAACCGAGAGAGGATTATGTTAGTGACGGCTAGTCTGGTGACCTTTATGGGACTTAATATCCTGATGTATTACATGTAAGCCGCTCTTCCCCACACTGCTCCAATCTCCGAAACTCTCACTAAGAGACACCTCCAGCTATGGATACCCCTTCCTCCAACACACCTATCTCCACCATCTGACCCGCATCGACCACCGACACAATTTCTCGCCCTACAATACCCTCCTCTACCTGCGCTCCGCCTTCCCCTCCCCCTCCCCCCTCCCCTTGGAATCTCTAACTTTTATTCCTCAACTTCTCCTCTCCATTGTTCTCCTGCCCCTAGTCCTCTCCAAACACGACTTGCCCACCACCATGCTAGCGCAAACCCTCACTTTTGTGACCTTCAACAAAGTAGTCACATCCCAGTATTTCCTCTGGTACACCTGTTTACTCCCTCTCTACCTCTCTACCCCCTCTTGTAGCCTCATCAAATCACCACGCAAGGGAATATTTGCTCTATTTTTGTGGGTGGCCACACAAGCATTTTGGTTACATCAAGCATTCGAGCTTGAATTTTTGGGTTTGAGCACTTTTGTCCCCGGCTTATTCGTGGCAAGCCTCTTATTTTTCGCCACGAATGTCTGGATTTTGGGTGTCATTGTAAAGGATGTTGGTCGGGGAGCGGCTGCAGTTTCTGGGAAAGGGATATAGGTTTTGGATCTTGAAAAACGGGATTAAAAGGGAGGCTGAGAAATGAGAGGAAGCCTGTTTACTAGGATGATACGTATCAATATGTGCGCCAGATGAAGATGTATATAGAGAGTAGACATTCCGGACATCGGCCTGTATATACATGCTCACACATCCATATTAGCAATCGATTAGCAATGATTCTCATGATTTTTACGTATGATCTGCTGAGAGTTCTCTATGGATTTAGATAGAAACGTCTCTTGCTGTAATTTGGAAATTTAAACTGAAACCACCAAATACACATGAAATACCCTTCCTTTGCTTCCAGAATTCGAGCCGAGAACGCCTGCTAATGCCAGATGAAAAAAGTCCTAGCTCCAGTTCCATTCCCAGCCTATTGCCAAAGCCATATCCTCAACCAAATCCCCTGCTCAAAAAATGTTTTACAATACCCTTCCCTTATACTCCGATGGAAAAGATGCTAGCAGTGAGACGATATCCTTCTTTAGCTAAGATTGCCCACCATATGTGCAATGCGAATTTGTGACATGATGTGATATCATTCGTTTATGTAATTGTGATACCACCCGAAAGTGCAAGGTAATTTGAAACTTTTATAGAGAGTGGTCGAAACTTTGAGAATGTAGTAGGCGTGATGTATTGTCCATCCTTGTTGATAGCCAGTTCACCGAGGGTTTCTGCTTTCTCCGCAAATGATGCACTTGGCCGACTGCTCGCCAATGCATCGACGATTGCGGGGCTCCATATCCCTGTGCATTGGTTATTTTTGAGTTCAAAATATGGGTTGAGCGGTGGAATTTGTGACTCTGCAGCAGTGTTAATATCATCCGGGCAATAAGAAAGTTGCTCAAACTCACCAAGGTCTATGAATCTGATTCTCAGGTACTCAAGGGCCGCCAGCTTATTCAATGATCGTACACTAGACAATACCAATGCTTCAAAGGCCGAGATAAATGACATATCACTTATACCAGATCCGTCGTTCCATTGCTGATTAGGGCGGCAACAGTTCTTGACAATAAAGTCTATACTCTTCAATTTAGAGGTACGTGGATTTGAAATTTTGGCCGCCGTGTCGAAGAATGCACGACAAATCCTACCGGTATATGCCAAGTGCTCGAGAGTTGGAATTGATTTGGCCAATTCATCGCAGAAATGCGTCTTCTGGGTAACCTTCCTGAAGAAAGCAGGTGATACAGTTTCTCTGCGATAGTCGTTTTCAAGACACAGGTTAAGGTGCGTAATGTTCTGCGGTATCCTGGGAGCAATCTGCGCGATACAGAGATATGACTTCGACTTCGGTTTGGCATAAGATCCGTGCCATTCATTGAGATTTGGTAATGCTGTCGCAATATTCTGGAAATCTTCATTCGTACGTATAATATTCCATTGTCCCTTGCAGACCAGAGTTTGGATAGTACGGATCTTCGGCAACTTTGTTTCATTTGGACGGAATTGCTGAACTTGAGGGGGTTTCTTTCTTTCACCACCTTCCAGAGTCAGGATAACAACTTCAGGGAAAGTATTTCGAACGAACTGGAAGATTTCTGATAGGGTGGAGTTGTTGTCTGGGGTTTGGTATGTGACAGGATTCGTAGCTTCTGCGCCGAGATGTGCAAGTGAGCGAATTAGGGTAGAACGGTCTGGATTAGTTGTGGGTATCCGCATAACTCGATCGAAAGGCAACTTCTTCTGTTGAAACACCGGAAACCATATTTCGATGTGCTTTACATAACGACACAGATGTGAATGAGCATAAAACCAATCTAATGACTGCTGAACGGAATCCATGGTTCCCTTGATCTTGAGATGTCTATATAATCGTTCTTGGATGAGACTTCTCCATTGAGTAGAGACGAGAGCCAACTCGGAGACTTCACGACGTCTCGAGTGTCTTAATGCTGTACCCCAGCCGCGAAGCACCTTGGACTTCCCCGGTATAATTCTCGCAGAAGCCGCAGCCCTGAAACCGAACAAGTGATCGAGAATGCATTCGTGAATTTCCACAGGAAGGTCGCACAAGGGCGAACCCGAATCTGGAGCTTGTTGTTGAATCGGCGAAGGTTCTCTCCATTCAAGAAGTTCCGGCTCGATTTGTCGCTCTAAAATCTCTCCATCTAAAGACTCCTGTCGCGGAAATGGTGTAGATGCCGGCCTTTCGATGTTTAAAATGTCATCGACTTTAGTATGCTCTATCAAAGGTGCTCGCGTGACTGTTGGCGTAGACGGACCCGGAGTGGCTGGGGTTGAAGCAGTCGTCATGATGGGAAACAAATGCTGGCTGAGCTCACTCTCTCGTGGTGGATGATTCGAATACATATTAATATATTTCTTGCTACCGCGTCCACTCTTCTACGCGCGATATCCGGGATTAATCATGAACAAAATAAAAGTGAGGTCGAAATGGTGGATGGAAGTTAAATTAAAGACGTATCGGTCTGTGACCAAGGCGAAAGTAAGTTGTAGTAAAGCGAGCCAGACCAGATGATTTGATGTGGTAGTATTTGGAACAGCTGTAAAATTCGTGAGTATACTTTGACATGCGGTGGTACGGGATCTTATATGACGATTGGAACGATCGCTGTACGAGTAGGTAGGCAGTGTTGTTTATTGTACTTCGTTGGAGGTTTTGCGCTGGTTGCGTACGACAAATCCTTCGGGGGCTGATAAGGTTGCTTCACAATGCATATGTTTGGGAAGGGGATCAGAGAGTAAGAGGGAAAAAGAAAGGAAAGAAAAAAGGAAAGGGAAAGGGAAAGGGAAAGGAGATATAAATCTTGAATGGCTGATATTATTTAATTGGGCTATATGATATTTGTGGATTTGTTGGACATGGAAAGAGGAAATTGTGTATGCCCAGGTGGTGTGTGTATGGTGTTTTGGTAAGTAGTAAGTAGTAATAAGTAAGTAGTAATAATAATAAGTGGCGTGTGTGTGTGTGTGTGTGTGTGTGTGTGTGTGTGTGTGTGTGTGGTGTATGGGAAAGAAGATTAAAAAGAGTGACACTCTAGTTCCGTATCAATACTAGGTCCCTACTAACCTCAGGTCAGTAGTAAGTAATAATAACCTGGAAGGAACTAAAATAAAGCAGATTGAAGTCAGCCGAACATTACGATCTCCCCATCTATAATTTTTGACTGATCATCAAACAGCACCGCTGGAAATAGTACCGCGTAACCTGGATAATAAATATTAATGTTGAAAGCATCCTACTATAAAGCCATACCTACCTAGTTCCCTTTTCATTGGTCCCTAATACTATCGTCGTATTTTTACCTCGATTCTGTAATTACCTGGTAATTACAATCATGATCATGAAAAGGCATAAACAATACACAATACCTACCTAGGTACCTGTGTACCTGGGTCATCAGTATCAAATCAATTAACATACTATTAATACTTGAAACGAAACATAAAACATCCATAGAATGGTAATTTTCTCCATTGATTTCCAATAATGATTATTGCTAAGGAAATTAATTTGGTTCCGAATGTGCTATCGAAAGATGAAACACTTCGCTGCTTGATCATTGAAATTACCTTCAAAGGTTGCCTTCAGTAGGTAGGTATCGTCAGGTATGTATTGTATCTACATAGGTAGGTAGTATTACTAGTAATCGCATCGTGTGCGGGGTTGTTGTGAGTAAAGTGGTATATTGTGTGAACTCGGAATGTATAATTTCAGCTCTTTCACTATTAGAAACACCTAATACCTAACACCTAATATCTATCTATCGTACATTATATTTTTCCCCTTATATATCTTACTGCTTCCTCTTCTATGCAAATTTTCCCGGAATCATTGTCTCAATCAATATCACTATCATCGTCGTCTTTAGTAGATGGCTCCACCTTCTCTACCCCCTTCTCACTTTCCGCTTCCCCATTCTTCTCTCTTAAATGTTTCTCGGCAACATCTTTGGGTAGCTGATCAAAAGGTTTGCCCCCTTCAACACCCGCCTTCAGGTTCCCATTCTCATCGACGTCTTCTTTCAGATAAAGCGTAAAGAGAACCACGAATAAGACTTCTCCAGTCTTGCGATTTTTCAATACATATCTGAGCGTATGTGAGCGCTTTTGCTCTTTCCTAATATCAAAAGAAAAACGTGGTTGGCATGACAGATCAAGAACTCGGCGCAATACATATCATCAAGGAGAGGTTATTTGGTTAATGAGAAAAGAGGATGAATGAAAGAATAACGAACCGAAGACCTTGCCCATCCCAATATTTCATTATCGGCATTGTAAACCCTGGTAATTTGAGAGAGAAATCTACCCATGACGATATGAAGTCAGTGCCACTTCTTTGTGTGGAAATACGATGGATATGTCAACTCTCAACTTACTGTTAAAATCTAGATATGCATTAAAGAAATCACACCCATAAGTTCTCCCCTCTTCCCAATCCCACTCTTTTCTATTTGCCTCTGTCAAGAAGTATTTTTTCCTCGCCGCCTCCCCATCCGGAATTCCACACTCCTCACGGTGTTCCTCACCCTCCTCATCCCCGCCCTCCTCAAATACCAATCCCGCATTTTCTTCCTCCTCACCATCTCCCTCTCCTCCTTCCCCAACGTACAGCACATTGAATGAACTAGCCGCTGGTCCATACAAATATGGTTCGTCTGCATAAACATCCCCATCCAACCCTGGATCTACCATCCACTTTACGATCCTGAAAGCTGTGTTGAATCCCGGTGGCAGACGATCTCTAATTGGATGATCAAAATCGTTTCCAAAAACCAAATCATCAGCATTGATATCCTTCTTCGGTTTGAATCGAAACCCGATACTGTATTGATCTTTATTCTTATCATGCGGTGGCAGAGCAAAGTATGGAGAGGTAGTGGGTGAAGATTTGGGTAGTCCGCGATAATCCTAACGAGGCGGGGTTGGTTAAATTTCAAGATGTTCTATTGATGATCTTGGAGCGCGTGGCAGAGGGGAAAGAACTCGCTTACTTGGATCCTGACATTCAAATCTACTTCGCAAAGTTCGTTCTCAATCCTCACAGTCTTTGCTTGATTGACTGGTACAATCTGATGTGTACTGACATCGTATTTTGAACCGGCTGTAACTTGTAAAATGTAATTTTCCGCCATATTTCCTCAAGGATGTCTGCGCAATTTGTTTGCGCTATATGTTAATGTAAAGGGAAACTTTTTCTCGTAATTATTACCTGTGACGAAATTCCTAAATATACTAGTATCGTCTCCAATGTTGAAATCTAGAAACTTGAGTCTCATTATTAGGTCGCAATCAACGACAAGTAAAATATTTTGCCGGTGATTGTGGGGTTTGAAAGCGGTGACGTAGTGGCCTTAGCCACAGTACATGTAACATGTGAATTTTGGGATTCACCCAAAGCACTAGAAAAATGTACAAAATCTCTTAGGAAGCGAATTGAGCATTTCTTTTGGAAGTCATTGGTTGTAATAGATCAATAGACTTGATGAGAGGTCCGAAACAACTTCGAGATATAAGATAACGCCGAATAATAGAGCAATCATTAAATATTGTCATGAATCTTCATAAAGCGTGATAGCTATTTGCATATTAATTGTTTCCGATCCCCAGTCCTACTCTTTGGGACGAAGGTCCGCTCACGCTCGCACTTGTGCCTCTCTCGCGGAGTCTTCTGCCTTCCATCAAACCCCGCAGACCTCTCTTCTGTAGTCCAATAACTGCACTGATATCGCCCCTCCAAATTTCCCCTGCGCTTTCAACCCTGCCAGATTCTGATGCACTCATGCTTCCACTCAAGTCGCTCCCGCTGATATCACTCGCGGCACTACTTGTCGCACTCATACTTTCTTCGTCGTCCTGTCTTCTTCCTCCTTGGCCAGTTCCAAGATTACCTACACTGGTATTGATTCGCAAAGATTGCTGCCCATGATATCCTAATTCGTTATCCAGTCCAAGTTGCATTAAGGTCTCGGCTCCATTTGACAGTCTATTGAGACTCCAGGGATCTGCTATATCTGATGGTGTTGAAGTAGAGCGTCCACCTCCAGCAGCCATTGCACTAGCATTGAAAACTGCGGCAGCGTTCCTACTGTCCAACACACCATGCAATCTCTCCACAACAGCTTCCAGTAGCCCGTCGATCTTGTATGGACGTGCTAATTGCAATAGACTACACAGTATCTGTGGAGTGCAGAGTGTAGAATTATTTGGTGGAAGAGACGATGTATACAGGAAATGAAGTAGAGCTTGAAGTGTGAGCTGTGTATGAGGTAGGTAAAGTGTCCGCGGTCTTGAATTAGGTGGCAAAGCAGCCGAGTCGGGAGGAAGAGCCAAAGAGGCGGGATCCGATATGGAAGAGCTATTCATTGTTGATGAAGTAGAGAGATTTGAGGATTGTGCACCAAGACTAGGTGTGATAGTAACACTACTATTCCTGCTTTGGTTATGTCGAAAGACGCCTTCCGGGCGCAGGGTCGCGGTGTCATTACCGTCTTGCGTTGCTGTGCCCTCGCGAAGTAGTTGAACGAAATATGGCCCCCATCTTCTTGCAATAATGCGCGAGTTGACTGGTATACGTTCGCCACCAACACAAAGTATGTCCATGTCGGCTAACTCTCTAAGAGCCAAGGCACTTTGGCCTAATTCCTCTGCCGCTTTGGAAAGTGTGCGCCCACCCGCATTCCATTCCGCTTTGCTATTGATATTTAATGAAGGGGTTGCGAAAGGTGAACTGGCCGAGGCAAAGCCTGACATTGGTGCTGCCTTCCGAGGATTGTCATACAAACCAAAAGCCTCGAGTTCAACCATGCAGACATTCGAAAAGTTTATGCGTCTGTGATTATAATCTTCCACAAGACTTCGTTTTCGATTGCCAAGTATAACAAATGTATTCCTTCGATTCCAAAGAACACCACGATTCCAGCTTCCTTGACTGAAAACACTGCCGCCAGCATCAATGCGACTCCACGTAAGAGTCCGTAAGTCAAGAGCCCATAATGCATACTCCTGTTTAGAAGAAGTGAGATAAGTCCCGCTGACAACAAAATTGGTGTCTATAACGCCGCCGTTTGGAAATCGAAGCCCTGGAGGAGAAAATGACCCGTGCATAGGCTTTTCTGCCAAGGTTCCATCAGAAGCTCTAACTTGTAACTCTAGCTTAACATCCAAGAAGTTGTAATTGGAATATATCAGCATTGATGACCCAGGTTCTCTTGAATCTGGAGTAATGCTACCATGATCTGGTTTGTTAGGTGTAGCCTTGCCTATTTTGGCAGAGACATGACCTGGAAGAG